TGCAATAAGCCTCCTTTTGATCTCAGGACTCCATGGAAATTCCAGTATGTTGCAAAAGAACCCCAATAACAGTAACAAGATAATGGGGGGAGCTAAAAGCAGAAGAGCTATTCCAACCATTTTTTTCTTTTTAAAATTTTTATTAATATATAAGTTATGCAGAACAATGGGCTTCACTTTAGCATATTGGTCCATGCAGATAACATACTTTGACTCTACCCACCTCTCCTCCTCGGATATCCTTCCTCATTTTTAATAGTTTTCCCTCTAATTTCCTCCAAGAAAATGCTGAGAGACAGGAAGTAGATAAAAGCTCACTGAAATATGAAATGAACAAGAGCACAGAGCAGTGGAGACCGTACTGGAGATGGAGGTAGAAGCCAGTCTCCCTTTCGGACGTACCATATTGAAGTTGCCAAATAAGGTACAAGCTGGAGATGAGAAGTAAAACATAAGGAAGACATTTGGAGGTCAATGAACCAAACAGGTGCCAATGTCTCTCATCCCTCCTCCCTTAAATCAGCAAAGAAAGGCAGTCTCTTTCATAAATAAAATGGTTGAATTACTCAGGCTTCTCCTGGGTTATAGAAATTTAGACTTCTTAGTTCTAATATTTAGCAAATATGCACTACATCAGCTGACATTCACATCACTTACCCTGAAATAAAGGTCATGTCTCACCCCTTGCCTTCATACATAAAACTACCAGTCACATTGCAGTATAGCACAAGAAACTTTTGGGAAAAGACCTAACCACACACCGGCAGAAGAAACTTGCAAAAATCATCTGATATAGTGAGGCTGATTCATTATTCCTGACAATGATTGGATAACAAAAATATATGAAAAGACCAGCCTGGGCAACTAAGCAAGACCCTGTCTAAAAAGAAAAAATTTAAAAGTGGTGGGGGTGTAGCTCAGGCAGAGGCCCTGGGTTGAATTTTCAGTACTACAGAGAAAAAAAAGAAAGAAAAGAAAAAAATCATAAAGAAACAAAGCTTAAATAAGCTCAAATATTTTAGCACAGAGATCAGACATTACAAGGCAATGCAGTGAGTCCTTTGACATTTGGAAGGAAAATAATTTCCAACCTAGAATTCTATATCCAATTAAAATATCAACAACACACAGGAATAGGAGTTAAGACATTTGGAAGCAATGATCTAAGAATAGTCACTGCCATGTGTCAGACTATGCTCAAATGTACAGAGGATAGATGACTACAGAGCAGATACAGGAAACAGAATTTCCATCCAGGGAGAGCACAAAGCAAAGTCCAAGCGTGACCAACCTGCTGCTGAACAGCAGAGACTGCTGCAGATGTAATAGGAGACAAAGATCCCAAGAGCTAGAAAAGACAGGGGGAGCTTCATTCAACATATTTGAAAGATTGGATAAACCTGATGATAGAAATTGATTAGAAACCTCAGGAGAAACCAATAGTCTTGTTCCAAATACAAAGCCCCAAATACGACCTCATCGATCTTATCTAATTGACGCCATGAAGGAAAGAGAATCTATTTGACCTTGATTCTGAGAACAGTTGTTTAAAGCCAGCCCAATTAATGCTCACGATTCAAATGTGTAGAAAATAAAATGTGAAACAAAATAAAGGCACTGGGGTGCAAAATACCTACCCTGTCTGCTGTTGTTTGGAAGTTTCTCCCATGAGCCTTTGGTACTATGGGAGAGGGTTTTAGGAGGTGGAAGGAAGCGAGGTCCTGGGAGCATGGCCTTGGGGAAACAGTGGAACCCTTGCTTTTCTTTCTCTTTTTTAGTGGTACTGGGGGTTGAACCCAGGGCCTTGCACATGCTAGACAAGTGCTGTGTCACTAAGCTACATCCCAGCTTCCCTGCCCCTTCCTGCCTCTCTCCCTGCTTCATTGCCACCATGTGGAGACACAGGACCTCCTCTGGCACACGTTCCTGCCATGAAGCACTAGCACTGCAGGCCAACGGCACCTGAGCCAGGCGGCCGTGGACTGAAACCTCTGAATCTATGAGCTAAATAAACCTTGCGTCCTCTGAAGTTGATTCTCTCAGAAGTTTTGTCACATTGATAGAAAGCTGACTGACTGTTGTGACATAGAAGCAATTTGTTGACATCTGAATTTTATAACCGGCCTATAGACAAAGCACATAGAGAGGCTTTGACTCTAATGATAAAACATACTATAAGTGTCAGCAATTTTAATGATATAAAATTAGTGATAGAAGCAATAAAAAGTTGGAGGAAAATCTGCAAGAGAAAGGGAAAAGATGGTGTACAAAAATCCTCTTTTACTTAGAAGAGGCTGCCAGTACACTTGAAACAAAAAGTTATATTATGTACAATTTAAAATTGCAAAGCTAACTGTCCCTTTAAAAAAATACTAGTAAAAACAACAGACATTGAAATTAAAAGAGGATATTGACAGTAAGATAAATGCTCATTCTTCTTGGCAATCAGCCAATAAATAGTGTCTAAATATCTTAAATTGAGAAGTATACTTTTAAAAATACGTATTTTAAAGTTATAAACATAACTAAAGGCATAAATTTAAGATAGATTGCTTCTAAAGAGTAGGGCTGAACTGAAGGAGGAGATGAAAGTTTTGTTTTTCAATATTAGTTTTATATTATTTGGCTTTTTATCATTTGAAAGTATTGGTTGGATTTTAAAATGATATTTTTTATTTCTAAATAAGAATTTATCTCTTTATCTTACAAGGCTAATTTGCAGATTGAATGGAATAATGGATTCCTAAAGCATCATGCATCTAACCCAATATACCAACAAAGGACATCAAGAAAACAAAACAGGCAGACACTGGGAACCGCGAAGTGCTACTGGGGATAAGTAAGGAACCATGTCACACCGCTACACTTTGGAACCAACCCAGACTGAGGCTGGCTGTGTCAGCAGTTGTGAAATCACCGTGACACCTGAGTAATCCCAGTATGTTTCCAGTTTGCTATCTGTAAAATGCATTCTGAATCGGAGTTTCAGGAACTCAAACTCTAGGATCAGACTCCTAGAGTTTAAATCCCACCTCTACCACTTTGGAGCTGTGTGACCTTCGGCCAATTTGAAACCTCTTTGCAACAGTTTTCTCCTTAGTAAAATGGGAAGAATGTGAAGGTTAAATGAATAAATGCACACGACGCTTCTCCCAAAGTAACACTGTGCATGTGCTTACTATTATTCTTGTGCAGTAGTATTGAAGGATTCATGTTTTAAGCCATATTCTTTAATTTCTTTTTTGTAGGTGCTGGGGAATCCTAATGCACGATAATTGAACATGATGAGATCACTAGGAAGCCATAAAGTACAAAAACACAAAAAAATGCTTAGATTTACACAAAGTTGTGACCCGGCACACATAGAAGCTTGTGTCTACATGTGTCAGCGAGAACTGAGCCTTGGTTATGTGTCTTCCCATGGTGGGACCATGGGAGGGACCACGAGGGCTACATTATGGCCACGGGACCTGGCCTTCGAGGAGCCCACAGGCTCTCTCCAGAGAGGAAACAGTAGCAGCTCAGCAGCTCCCATGGAGAAACCCAAGGGGAGAGTTGAGCTGAGCATGATCCCTCCAACCATCCCACTCCCACTACCCATTCGCTCCCCTGCCCAGACGCACACCGATTCCCACACAGCATGGGCTTAGCTCATCAGGTGCAGTGTAAGCAGAATGAAGACTTCTTAGATTATGGCAGCCTTTATGGTCTCAAATATAGGAGATCTTCTCTGTGCCTGTGGAAGTGGCACCGCAATGCTCTGTGAGGAAGAATAACTCAGAATGTCCCTGTGAAGAAGGTGGTGACTGCCTCTGTTATTGACATTCCAACCTCCGACCCTCACCACTCCATGTGCCTGACACACACACACACAGCCATATCAAGGCACTGTGGAGAGTCAGGGTGGGGGGTCTCATTGGCTGTATCTACTCTTTGGTTCTCTCAGGTCCAAGTCACTTCCGTCTGTCATCTAGGGGAAGGACAATCATCTATTGGAGGAATCAGTATAAGAACACAATGGCCCTCTCTTGGTCAGAGTTCTTAAAACCAGACAACAGAGTCCATTGTAGCTGATCTCAGTAGGAAGGGCTTTACTAGAGCATACTGCACAGTTTGTAGATTCACAGGAAGACCAGAAGCTGATACCTTGGGAATGACTCCCAGCTCCTCTCTTCAGCAGAGGACTAGCCTGAAACAGGACCTGCTTTGTAAATATCTGTCCCAACAAGAATGCTGCCTCCACCCCACCAACCACAGGACCGTGCTCCTCAACCCAAGTGAGAAAGCCATTATCCATCCTCTGGCAGTCCGCCCGACTGAGTAGACATCCCTGCTTGCTGCTCCTGTGGGACCTATTTCTTGATACAGGACTGACTGAGGCACAGCTGGTTAGAGAACAGAAGACCACAGCCTCTCCATGCTGGCTAAAGCCCTGGGACATATGAGACTTAGCGTTCTGTGTTGGGAACATGGCGGTCACTCTGTACGATGGTCATCAAAATGTCCAAAGTCAAATCAAAACAGAAAGTAGAATAGGGTTCTACTCTAAGGGCCGGGGTGTGGGAGGCAGTTACTATTTGATGGGATTACAGAGTTTCACTTTAGGATGACAAAACATTCTAGAGATGACAAAAGACAACAGTTGTATAACAATATGTACCCAGCAAGTTGTACTCTTTTTTTAAAATAGTACTCTTAAAAAGATTAAAATGTTATGTATATTCTACCACAATTTTTTAAAAAAGAAATAAAAAGACCTCCCCTAAATTGTATAAAGATGTTGAGATAATCATAAGTGAGAAATATTTATTCCTTTATGTAATTGTCAAAGTGAACGGACAAATCTTTGAGAAAATTTGTGAATATTTTATTTAAGCACAGGTGGAATCTACCCTTCTATGGAAAGATTGGTACAGAAAGGAATTTTACAGATTTCCTTTGTAAATTCTTCCAATATTTAACAATGCACATTACTAAGAAATTCTTCTTTAAATGTCACCTAAATCCTTCTTGCCCTATCTGAAGACCTTTCTGTTGTTTCCCTCTTTGGTGGCGACGGGAAAGAGCCAGCCTGCATTTTGTGTACTTCACCCTCAAGCCAAAATAATTCTAGTTGTTTCAGCCCTTCCTGGAAAGCTGTGTTCTCCATACCCGGATTTCATCTTCATGTATCTTTTTGAATCTGGTTTCCATTTCCCTGCAATTCTGTTTCCTGGTTAGGGCCTGTCTGAGGACGGAAAATTGACCCAATCCATTTGGACATTATCAACACCAACTCTTAGTCTACAAAGGACTTCAATTGTTCGAAGGACCTGAAGTCATTCTGAGTCATAGTGAGGAAAGTACATCGTGAGCACATTGCTAATGACAGGGAAATTATACTGATGGCTCCAAGACCTGGACGTGGGATTAAGAGGCAACAGGGACAAAGTCCTGTGGTGAAGAGCACACTGCGGTGTGGCCTGTGGACAATGAGCCGTGGGGGCATGAGCACGGGGGAGCAAGTTGCTCTCCTGTGTCCTTCGGGGTGGGGAGGAAGGCTCTGGGAAGGAAGCTCTGTGGGCGGCAAGGCAACTGGGTCACGTCCCTGGGGTGCTGGCTTCGAGGCACAGGGAGAAACAGATACGGTGGGATAAATGAGCTGTCGGAATGGAAAACACAAGCTCTGAGGGTTACTCTGTCCCTACTATTCCTACTGGACTCCGACTGTTCCGATCTGGACGAGATACCAGGCCCTGATCCAGGCAGCTTGGAGGGACTTGGCAGGTCGGGCAGGGCCTCCTCGGAATCAAATCTGAGTGATAACTTACACTTGCCCAGCATACTACAGACTGCAACACCACTTACATATCACTGGCCTAACTTATGCCACACATTGATTGCCCTTTGCTCTCACCAGGGAATACATGTTACCACCATTCTATGTGAAAGGAGATCCATGCATGATCATATGACCAGCAGAAGAGCTATGACAGGCACATTGTCCTCTGTCCTTCCACTCTGGTGCTCTTTGGTCTGAACCACATTGCCCTTCCTGGAAGACTTGTCATGGTAGACCTTGGTGGACACTCCCCTGAGATTCTTCTGTCAGGGGCACAGAGTGTTGCATGATTAGGAAAGACTCCACCCCGCCATCCTAAGCCACGCACGAGGTGGTGATAGCGAACATGGGTGAACAGGGGTGAATTGTTTCCTCTGCACATTTCATGGTAGCCCAAGGCTCCTTAGATAACCGAGGCCCTTCTGGAGACAATGTTTGCTGTGGTTTAGGGTTAAAAGAAGGACCCTTTGGCTATTGTCGTTCTTCTTGGTAAACAAACACTGAAAAGAAAGAAGACAATTCCTTTAAATATGTGTGTCTTATAATAATATAAAAGTCTGTGTTCACAGAATTACTAATGCCATTTCTTATTAACAATACTCCAAAACTAGACATTATCCAAGGCCAAGTAGGTTGTGTGCATTGAATTGTTCATGAGTCAAATGAGAAATGAATACTCTATTGAAACCAAAGCAAGATTAATTTTTTCCCCAGTAAGAAAAGACTCCTTCTTACCACCCCCAGAGTTTCCACACAGATTAGATAATGGCCTATTTTATTTTAATAAAGCTTTTAGCAAAATATTGACAAGCCACACATGTGGCCTCTGAACCTAGAGACCAAAGAGGCTGTTACTGCTCCTTTGAGAAATGATGCAGTTTGACAACAGATCAGAAGAAAGAGAAAACAGTGTTATATCCAACGTGGAGTTGAAAGTTAGTAAAATCACCAATCCCTATAGCAATGTGAAATTTCTCCGAAGTCAGCTGCCATCAATTCATAGGCTCCAATCTAAAGTTTCACTTGTACCATAACTTTCGGTGGTCCCGAAATAAATTACTGGTAATGGTGTGTTTATTGTTTATCATTCATCACTCTGGCGGGAACACAGATGACATTCAGCCTCTGAGATTCAGTCAGACCACGTGAAGCCAGCAGGAGAGACATGCAGCCCCTGTCCCGCAGAGCACTGAGACAGCAGGGCAGGGCTATCTCTGTCTGACGGGTCAGAAAGGACAGAAACTAGGCATCTGCTGTCCAGCTCTGAATGTGCAATGTGAGCAGGGGATAGGAAACTTACTCTAGATCCTATAGGCATTCAAGGAAAAAGCATAGAAAATGGATTTGGTATTTGACTTACTAGCTATGTCACTTCAATTCAAGTGCTATTCTTGGACCCGAGATGATATTCTTCATCTTATACAAATTTTCTCTTTGTTTCCAGGTATCTCCAGGCCGAAGACTTGAGCCATGGGATGATAGTATTTATGGCAGCTTGTGGGTTTACATCTGCGGTCCCTTGTATGTCTGGTGAACATTCAGGTTTATTTGTTCAATGCCTCAACAGCAAAACACTCTCTGCACAGGTTTTTCAAGTCATTCATCTATCTTAGTTCACAGTGAAATGAGGCCATGTAGCTCTCCCAGCTCCTTGAAAAGCCATGCATTTTCTAGTCTCAATAGTATTTTCATAGTGTTGCATGACGACCCTTACAGGGAGACTGGGCATTTGTGGATGGGTTACTGCAGACCTGTGGCCTTGCAGTGATCTCTTGCCATCAAGACCTGTAGTCCTGTCCTGCTTAGGGAGATGGAAATAGTGACCCATTTCACATGGCCAGGGACCCCACAGCAGAAAGCCTCTACCCTCCCAGAAAGTCAGCGTGCGTCTTCCGCTTCCACCGAGAGCCACCTGCCCTGGCTGTGCCATCTCCTCCCTAGCCCAGATGGGGCCCTCTGATTTAGACTTGTTCCGGGATGGCAAAGATCCATGTGTCCTGCCATCATGACACCAGGCTTTTATAGACTGAGTCAAGAAGAACAAGCAAGTTACACCACAGCCAAACTAACCTGTGGCGGAAATTCCCTGAGGGTTTTCAACTGAACACACTGTCTCCTTCCCACAAGGAAGAAAGTCAGGAGAGGGAGGAATCCAAGCTCCACTCGGTTCCACAAGATATACAATCCCTCAGGGCTTCAGCTGACAGGAAATGAGGACTACTAAAATATCATACGGTAAGTGAAGAAACTGATACACCAAGGGGTAAGGAAGTGATTGATACAGGTCCATCACAGAATAGTGTATTAGTTTACAACTGCTGCCCGACTTAAGCATAAAACAGCACAAATCTACTATCTAGGGATGGGAAATCCAACTGAGTTGCTGGAGCTTCGTTCCCTCTGGAGGTTCTAGTAAAGAATTCATTTTCTTGCCTTTTCTATCTTCCAGGAGTTACTTGTATCCCTTGCCTCACAGACACAGCAAAATCGCATCTACTTTCCTTCCTCTGGGACCTTACTATCACCTCTTTCTCTGTGACTTTGACTCTTCTGCCTCCCTCCTAAGAGGATCCTTTGTAAATGCAGGTGGCCCAGGCAAGCCAGGATAACTTGCCGACCTCAAAATGCTTACTTTTATCACAAACAAAGGATTTTTTTTTGTCATCTAAGGTAACATATTTACAAATTAGGGTATTAAGATGCAGAAATTTTTGGAGGGGAGAAACATTATTCTGCCTACCATAAATGAAAACCAAAAATCTAAACCTCATCACTAAGAAATCTATCCAACTCATGTGTTAATTTCATTCAACATATATTTACTATCAACGTACCTAGAAACCAGGACTATGACTGGTAAATATCGCAAATAATTGGCACAAAAACTCTTTGATTTTCCAAGTTATGCTTTAAATACAATTCATGAGTAAAGAACATATCTTTAGATCCTTTAGAAAAGAAAAATTCTGAAAAATGCAACTTCACTAACATAAAGACCAAGGGCTCAAGTTCCCAATATTTAACCAAATGATTTTACAGATTAAAAAGAATGGTATGAACAACTCAGTAGAAAATGTGGCCCAAGATGAGCACCTTGTAGAAGACATGCAAATGGGCAGTGCATCCTTACAATGAGAAATCGCAATCTACCTGTCAGATTAGGAAGTGCTGTGTCCTGCATGTTTGGATCTCTCCAGTGTTCCAGTGTCCACACCTGAACCCTGAAGGTGGTGGCACTTGGAAGTCAGGACTTTGGAAGGTACTGAGACTTGGGTAAGGCCTCCAGCCTGGGTCCTCAGCACTGGGGTAAGTAAGAGCCCTGACATGGAGCTGAAGGACTGGAGCTAGCTCTCCCCCGAGCTGAGCTGATATGAAGATGCTGGCAGGAGGCATGGGAGTGTTCGTGTGCAGATCCAAACTGGGGAGATTTGCTGAAACCTTGCTCACCTCTGGAGCTGTGAGGAATCCTACTGGTTATTTAAACCACCCAATTCACACTTCCTCGTATAGCAGCTTGAACTGATAAGATAGGAAGATGTAAAAGATGAATGATATTCTGTAGAAAACCCCACAGCACTGCATCAACCAACTCTCCTGTTCCTGTCTGCCTCTCTGCTATAATCTTCCACTTCTCCCATCATATTTGCGATTCAAGCCAGAAAACTATCCTTTCGGTTTGTCACACATACAGAAGTTTAACCCAGCACCTCCTTCTAGGAATTTAGCACCCCTAAATATTTATACAAATAGGAGGTTCCATGTACAAAAATGTAATTGGAAAAACCTGGAAGCAACCTATACGTTCCTAGGTAGAGATTTGATCAACTGCCTTATTATATACCGATAAAACTAAATATTGTGCAACAGCTAATTTCCATGTCTGTGGAAAATATTTCTTACTGTGGTGATTTGCAAAGATTTCTGAAGTGTATCCTTTAATATAAAGGGTGATGTTATTTCGTACATTGCATATTTGTTAATTATCCTGTATTATTTATTAAATAAGTATATTTCCATGCATGCATCTTGCAAAACAACTGAAAATGTTGGGAAGAGAAATGAAAGCTACTTGACATTTCACTGAGTATTAACACAGCCAACCCTCAATAAAAGTAAATGATACAGCTATAAAAACTGGTGAAAGAGATTCAATATAGTCTTTTGAAGCTGTCAAGGAGGAAAATAAATTAATGAAACAGAGCACATTGCTAAAGATATAATTAAAGAAAAGTTTCTTAATGTAAAAGATGATGTAAAGCTACTTACTGAGAGGATATATTATGTACCAGGGAATAGTAACTCAGAATGGTCAACATCGAGAACCGTCCAGTAAACATGTGGAATCTGAAGATGAAAGAAGAATTATAGGCAAATTAATCAGGTACTTTATAGTGGGAAAAATGCAACATGGTCCTCAGGCCTCACCTTTATCCAGTCCCAGAGGGAGTCAAACCCCGCCTCTGTGGTTCTCAGGGGAAATGTGGGTAAGGACTTTATATTCAGTCAAACTATCCGTAAGCACAAAGGGTACAAACAGTTTTGAACAGACAGGAAACCAGAAAATGCTGTTCTCCAAGGTGTTTCTTGCTGGAGGACAAACTTCAGCCAACCAGACCCCAGGAATGACGCGAGAGCAGTATAATGGTGATCACGGCGAAATCAAACACAAATGTGGAGTTGAGTGGGACCAAATGGAATATAAATTTTATAAATGGTGACCATGTAGCAATGACACGACTGAGGAAAACTGTGAGAGGGAAAAGGAAAAGGGAGAGAACTTGAGCAAAATTCCCCTTGAACTCTTTTTAAGGAGCCAAAAGTAAAAGGAACACATTTCAAACAAAAGAACCAAGCAGTCAACATTCTATTTAACAGAAAAATTGAACATCAAGAGATATAATGTTATTAACTAAGTCAGACAGTTGATAACACAGTGGCAGGGGCATGATCCATGGAAGAAATGGTTAACAGGCTGGACATTGTTAAAATAAAACAGAAGCCCTTTTCTGTGAAAGACATGAACTGGGAGAGAATTATTTGCAAAAGACGAATATGGTAAAGGACTGATCTTGAAAAATACAAAGAATTCCTAGAAACCTACAATAATAAAATGAACTACCCAATTAAAAAATGGACCAAAGACCTGAACAAACACCTCATCGAATATTTCCAGGTGGCAAGTCATATCACAGACTGGGAAAATTATCAACGACAGGGATGCATTTGCTTTGCAGCCCTGGAGTGGGAATGCAGAGCATGAGGTCCAGGGCGGGTCTTCACACTTTGTCACCCAGGGCAGTGAGCACACACGGGACCATGGAGAAGGTCAGGCCGAGCCCACCCTCTGTTACTAACCCACCCCTTAAGACAGCATTGATTCACTCATCAAGTCTCAGGACCTAGGCACCTCTTAAAGGCCCTAGGAAGCCTTTGCAATGCAATTAAATTTCACAATGAGGATTGCAGAGGACACTGAAAGCACAGCACAGGGAATACAAAGGAAAGCCACTTCAAGATGATACTGCTCCGACTAGAAGAGCCAATGTCCAAGCCACAGACAGCATCAAACAGCAACAGGAACTGGAGCAAGGGGAACTCTCATTCACTGCTGCTGGGGTGCAAAATGGTACTGCGCTTTAGAAGACAGTTGGGCAGTTACTTAGGAACCTGAACATGCTTTTCCAACAGAATCCAGGAACTCACTCCTTGGTACTTACCCCCAGGACCTGAAAAGCGGCTGGAGTTACATCACGTGAAATCTTTCTGTAGGACCCAAAATGAAAATATGGTCTTATTATAAGCCCAAAAAGCTTGAAATTATCCAAGTTAGAGATTATAGGCCACTCAAAGTACAGACTCTGGTAGAACTGTTTAAGCAATATCCCAATGGTTCTCCATGCTAATAGAGCATCTCAAATGATGAGAACTTTTCCTAGCAGGTGGTCTTTAAATTAAAAACAGACTTTCTCCTCTTATCTAAGTGAAAGGAAGCTGGGATTGTTAGTCTTTTGTAAAATGGTGGAGTCCATCCACTTGTCATGGAAGAGAGGGACTGCAAAGTACCCTGTGGATGTGATCACATGACAGCCAGCAGATGTCAGAGGAGCAGTGCTGAACAGTAAGGAGACTTTTGTGAGTGCCAGAAGACATAGCCTCTCAGCTCTTTGCATCCCTTGAGATACTGCACTACAAACCAGATCCCAAAACAGAAAAGAACAAGACTCATGTCCTGTTCGTCAGCTATATGGACCTCACTTTGCAGTAAAGGAGGGAAAGAACTTCCCCAGACAGCAGTACTGTGGTTAACTCTCCAGATCTCACGTGTGACCCCCTTTAGTACTCTGAATCAGGAAAGAGCCACAAAATCACATAGAACAATAGGTTAAATGCTGGTCTCTGCAATGTACCAGCCCTGAGCACTCCGTAGAAACTGCTTTCATTTTTGGCCTTTAGAAAGTTATTCTACCAAATGATTACTATGGTAATTGGAATTAGGAATGGAATTATGGTTGAGCCCTAAATGACATGATGCTGATGTTCCAACTGCTAGTTAGCTGTTACACTGAACTATTTTGAACAATGAGAGGGACAGGATCAACTTGTGGGAGCACTAATTTTAATTTTGGGATAGCCAATTTGTTGGTCTTTCACTGCTTTCTTAAAGGAAACCCAAGGTCTGAAGAACTTGCCCCTGGCCTATATTCAAGGAGAAAATTAGAGCATCCCTGCCTTAGGAGAAAATATTTAACCTCATCTTCCTTTGAGGACAGTGCAGTTTCACATTCACAGGACTCAAAATCTGTGCCACAAAATGAGAGATCTCCACGATGGATCAGTAAAGCTAATTACTTTGGGAATGATGCCCCCCTTTGTAGTCTCTGCAGAGCACATCATAATTCTGCGAAAGGGGAGGATGTGGGAGTGCTACTATACAGATGTGACTTAAAGGCACAATATATCACAGAGCACTCAGGTTAAAGTTCGCTAGTCGTAAAGCATATCGCTGACAGTTAATTTGCTCCTATCTTCATCTGCTAAGACATTAGCAGGATTTAATGAGTGGGTATCAACGGCAAACATTCATTATATATCTTCAGATGATGGAGAGGGTTATTATGGTAATTAAAATCAAGAGTCACAAAGAAGCAAATTAGAAATTAGAGTCCTAAGAAACAAATCAATAAAAAGTAAAAAGTCAGGCAAATTTTAAAAGAAATTGTGCATTCTGCATTTTGTTCTTACCTCCTAAAAATATTTAAAAATACATACATATTGTAACAGTTACACACACAGAGCTAGGTGAGAGTTCTTGATAATAATTTTCCTCAGGAGACAAGTATATTAACAGTGTCATAAGTTATTATTTCAAATGTATTTTATGTGTATACTATAAAGCCACTAACGTTACAAGGATGGGCGTATATAATACATACTGTTTTGCACTGTTTCTTCAGTAAACATATTGTGGATAACTATGTCACTTCATGAAAAAAAAAGTACTTGATTCACACGTGAAAATAAATGTATTCATTGCTTTGGACCAATGAATATTTTGAACCACACTTTTCTTTATCAAATGAAAAAGGAAATAGTGCTTGAAGGACATTTAACTCTCAATTTTCTACTCTTCTGAATGATTTCAATTTTACTGATAACCATGTATTTTTTATTACTGACAGCTAGATAAAAGCAATAAGCAAGAGAGAGAAATGGAGAGGCTCAATTTCAAAGGGTAAAGTAATAATATAATTCAGATTGCCTGGTTATAATTTTTTATACTTTTTTAAAAGATCAAATTTTTTTTAAAAGATCAAATATTTAAATATTAAATCTTTGGCTCTTTGTAGAAAAATCTGTGAACAAAGGGCAAAAATTTGTACCCAGATTCCCAAGAGGAATCATTACCTGACACAACCGGAGGCCAGGCTTCCCCGGAGTAGCCGACTCCAAGTGGTCCACTGGGAAGAGAACCCTGACTCAGAGCCTTTGTGCAGCCACCTGACCAATGGCTTCCAGTTACACCAGGGCCAGGAAATTCCCTGAGGAGTTCAATTCCTACAGCCTACTTTTTTATTGTTATTATTTTCTTATTCTGAGTAATACTTGGATCCAATGGAAGGAAATCTTTGTTTGCTTTGATCTTACTAAGAGCTCCTTAAAGCGCAGGTCCCAGCTGAGGAAGTGCATGTGAAGGCGAATATGCTGAAAAGCGAGATTGCTGTGGCTTGGTGCTTCTTTCCAGCCCATGACATGGAGACCCCTCTATAAGGAGCCTGGAGAGAAACTTCTGTCTCTGTGTAAAACAAACTGAGCAATTAATCTGTTTTTACCTTCTGGTCAATGTGGATTTTGCAACAAAGCTTGTTTCTGGTTTTATTGTATTGAAAACGTGTAACCTAGAGGTCTCTAGACCCCAGCAGCTCAGGGTCAAAAGTGAGTCCCATTAACATTCACTCCCAAACAAGAGGGCCCGGTGGACCTCAACTCCGCACAGAGAAAGCCTTTTGGCCAGACTCGTCTGCATGCCCCTCGGGGACTGCCACACTTGATTCCATTTGGGGCTCGAAGTAGCATGGACCAATCGCCTTAGTTTAAGCAAAGAAAAAGGAATTTGTTACAGGGACCAGAAGTGATCTGTAGAAGGTAAGGGCAGAGAGATGCCTTTGTCTCAGAAAAGTCTAGAACCAGAGAATCAAGTGGCATCAGGAAGCTCCTGCTGTCTTTCATCATTGTTGCTTCCTGCTGTATTACTGTGTTATTCCCTCCCTCCCCCCTCTCTCCCTCTCCATTCTCCCCCACTGCCCCATCTTCTTTCTCATTGGCTTCCATAGCTGATCCAACTCAGCAACAGAAAATGAAGGCCAGTGAGGGCCCCCAAGCTTACATGACATAGATCCAGCCACCTGGAGAGGGGTAGAAATACCTGTGCCCAATGTTTAATTTCTGGAGAGGAAACTGACAGTACCACTTGAGCAGAATGCCCACTTTCTCCAGCTCACTATGGCAGAAGGTGCGGAGGGCATGCGGCCCTCAAATGGCCCGGTGGTGTGGTGGCTGGGAGAGCGTATTCCTGGAGAAGGGGTGAGCAGGGCCACAGTGTCCATGTGTGACGGCTAGAAGAGTGGTGTGTGGCTGCTGAGTGTGGTGCTCACCTCCCAGGACAGTGGCCTCCACACCGCTTAGGCCACGCCCCCACACAACCTGTCCTTGCCCTGCCCCGTTGCAATGTTCTTACCACCGATCTCAAGGTCACAATCTCAAGATGCTGAAGCATCGTAAAATGCACTCAGTCCCTTTGGTGTGGAGCACCGAGAGCACCTGCAAAAAGATGAGGAGAAAGGCAC